AAATGCAAAAGGTTCAAGACAAAGACAGAATCTTAAAAGCAGCAAGAGAAAGGCAGCTAGTTACCTACAAGGGAGTTCCCATAAGACTGTCAGCTGATTTCTCAAAAGAAACTTTGCTGGCCAGAAGGGAGTGGCAAGAAATATTCAGAGTGATGATAAGCAAGAACCTACAACCAAGGTTACTCTATCCTGCAAAGCTGTCATTTAGAATCGATGGCCATATAAAGAGTTTCCCAGACAAGAAAAAGTTAAAGGAGTTCATCACCACCAAATCATTATTATATAAAATGTTGAAGGGTCTTTTTGAAGAAAAAGATAAAATATATGAACAAACAAAATGGCAATGAATACATATCTATCGGCAATGGAATCTACAAACAAAATGAACAGGCAGAGCAGAAACATTCTCATAGATACAGAGAATATTTTGTTGGTTGCCAGATGGGAGGGGGGTTGGGGGAATGGGTGAAAAAGGTGAAGGGATTAAGAAGTACAAATTCATTGCTAGACTGACAAACCTCAAAGGGAAAGGGGTTGGGGGGTGGGAAGAAATAAACCAAAGAACTTATATGCATAACCAATGGACAGAGACAACAGTGTGGGAAAAGGTGGGAGGGGGGCGGGAGCGGGGAGGAGGAGATCAATGGGGGGAAAATGAGAAACATCTGTAATACATTCAACAATACAGATTTAAAATTTAAAAAATCAATAAAAACATATATTTTTTAAAAACAGTTAAGATGGTAAATTTTATGTTATGTATTTTACCGCAATGAAAATTTTTAAAGAGATTGTAGACACCATCTGAGTTTATTCTTATACATAAATCTTGACCTCTGCTCTGACACACCTTCTAGTTTAGTCTGTCTTCTCATTAGTTCTTGAAAAAACTGTGCTCATTTCTGTCCCTGGGCCTCTGTCTTACTTTCTTGTAGCCTGGAAACTCTGCCTATCATTTCTAAGTCTTCAAATGCAGCTTAAATTTTTCTTTGTTTTGTTCCCCATAGTATTTCCTGTTTAAACTTCTGATGTGGGCAGTTAATCAGGCAGTTAATGTTATTTTAGCATTTCATGTTCAGGTCTTCTCCTGCTTGCTCTCCCCAACACAGCCTGAGTTCCTTGATGCCCAGGACTGGGTTTCGCACTTGCATAACATAAAACTTTGAGGCACAGAGCAGGTCTCAAAGGTATGGTGAATGATTAAATGGTGGGTGGAGAGGAGAAAGTTACAGAAGGGTGTTCTATGTATTCCATCTTCTTCCAAGCTGGGCAATTTGTGAGAAGTTTGAGACTCATCAGAGCCAGTCCACAGCAGAGAGGATGATGCATTCCCTCTATAAGAGTTGAGGGAGCCTTTCAGAGAGAAACAGGAATCTCATCTCACCTCTGAACAGACTGCCAGAAGCCCAACGATGTTGCCTTCTTCTTCTGAGTCATCCTTTGGAGGGAAGAGCAGAGTCCTGGGAAGGTAGTGCTGGGGGAGGAGGAAGAAAGCATGAGAGACTCTGGCCCTGCCTGAAGCAAGCACACTCCTAAGCTAAAAATGTCCATGCTGACTGAGTACTCCTCACCTGTGAAATGGCACTATCAGCTGTCCTACTTGCCTCACAAGGCACCACAGTTCAAAATTAGATAAGAAACATAGTGGTGCTTTTCTAAGTGGAAGTCAGAATGAAAGGAATGACTGAAAGCCTGGGTGCCAGAAACCTTAGCAAGACAGGTTTCCACCAGGCAGTAGGTGACATCTGAGCTACTACACTATACCCAGCCCGATGAAGGGAGCAGCCAAGAGAACACTGTGGAGCTGGGCTGTCCAGTAGAGCAGCCATGGAGCCACTGTGGCTATGAGCACTTGAACTATGAGTCTGAGTTGAGATGTATTCAGGTTAAATACACACTGGATTTTTAAGAGTTAGTGAAGAAAAAAACAAACAATGTAAAATATCTCATTGATAACTTATATTGATCACACGTTGGAATGACAATACTTTTACATATGTTGAGTTAAATAAAATACATCGTTTAAGTTAATTTCACCAGTTTCTTTTGAATTCTCAATATGGTTACTAGAAGATTTTAAAAGCATACGTGTAGCTCGCATTATGTTTCTACTGGACAGCGCTGCCGCCAGGAAATGCTGCCTGTCACACCACCGTGTGTCATCTTGACACCTTCAAAGCAACAGATGCCTTATATCCCCAACAATCCAGCCTGGCAGTCCTCTACCCCAATGCAAAGGTGTCCTCCTCCCTCCGACTAAGAAAGGGCTGACCCGCTCCTCCTTATGCCACAGCCTCTGGGACATCAGGATACCTGCCATGCCCGCGGAGAGTGCAGTCAGTCGGTGCGCAGCTTACCTCCAGCGCCCAGGGTTATGGATCTCTTCCAGCAAGCTCTCCTCCAGCTGTCAAGCGCCAAAGCAAGGCCATGATCATGGCAACTCGGCCTGACCCACAGCCAGTCACTCGAGGGCAAGAAAGAAGGCAAACCTCAGGCCTTCACTAGACGGTGGCTCAGGAAGGACGTCAAGCTTACCACCGCCCATGTGGCGCATCAGCCCTGCACCATGCCCACCTGCTCGCACCTCCACAGCTGCCTCCCAAGCTCCTCCTCAGCCCGCAGTCGCATTTCCGGGGTCTTAGACTCTTGGTCTTGAGCTCCTCTGAAGGGTTAACCATGGTTGCCCACCAAGGACACAGGGAGGCGCTAGCGCCCTCCTGAAGAATCCTGGGAATTGTAGTTCATGGCCCAGGTACAGGCGGGGTTTAGGCGGGCACCGCCCCTCCGCGGGTGCGGGCAAGGAGGCAGAAGCAGTGGAGTTAACTGCAAGAACCTCAAGGACAAAGACCTCGCGATGAGCTGTGCCCAGTGACCTGGCTGGGCGCTCCAGTGGCCAAGCTACCTGCTAACACAACTGCAGCCATGTGTGTCATGGCAGGGATGAGGACAGTGTGGGTCCTGGACAGGCATGTGGTGCTCTTGTGGACTGCAAGGAGCAGAATGAGAATTGTGGGTTAATTCCTGCTACAGCTTGAGGTAGAGTGCTTTCCCTGGGTCAGGCACTGGGCTAGTCACCGGAGAGCAGGGAACTCAGACAAGCACAGGCCCTGCCCTCAGGGAGTTTAGCAAATGACACAGCATTGGATCAAGTTGCAAGAATGCAGGAAGTTACTGAGAACTGTAGGCAGTCACTAGTCCACAGCAACCAGAGGAGTGGGGCCCAGCAGGGAACCTTCAAGTAGGGCAATGTCTCAGATACCCATGCCTTAGCCTCCCCAGAGCCTGATTCAATTATGGGTCTATAGACCAACTGCATAGACTAAAACCCTGCTGTAAGGAACAATACCATTTAGCTAGGCAAAAGTGAATGGTTAATACTAGTTATACTAATCATCTGCCTTAACACCCCAAACCCAATCCAAACCAAAATTATATTCACTCTACTTTAAAATACCTTTCAAATTCCTTTACTTCTCTCCACGTCCAATACTACCAACATAGTCCAAGCCAGAAGTCTACAACAATGGAATTTGTGTGCTTCTTGGGATGTCCAGACTTTCCACTGGTTGGGTGGGCAAGGCTACGTTTAATTTCCAGGAGTTTCACATTGAGGTGCTTGAGATCTGACAGCTTGTGTGCTTGGGAGTGGCCTACTCAAAGGAGGTGTGAATGTGGTTGGCAGAGCAGGCAGGAAGGAGCACACCTGAAGGATAGTCACTCCTTCCTTTGGATGCTGCCTGGAAACCTACTGATACAGCACAACTCACACCCCACTGCCCACAGGAAAAGGCAGGCCCAAGAGGTTAGGCTCCCTGTGGAGAAAGCAGTTTCTCAGAACACTGAATTTGCAGCGCACAAAATGGGAAAGGCCCCTGCCAAGCCAGACAGTAGGTCACCCTCTTTGGGGCTGGCTTGTAGCATCAGGGCAGTGACTCGCTTTGGCCCATCCTTCAACCTCAGTGGCAGAGACCTGCAGCCTTCAACCCCCAGGTGAGTTGTGGGCAGCGCGAGGCATGGTGTGTGCGCACACGTGGCAACGCACATGTACGCATGTGGCATCTAGTACATGGAATCGCACCAGGTGCACCTCTAGATGAGGTGCTCATCACCTAGCCTTGGAACAGGACCAGTCCTGAGTGGGGAGAGGGAGGGTGACGAGAAGAGCAGGTGAAGAAACCACAGATGTTCTCCACCCCTGGTCTGAACCAGCGCTGGTGGGCATCCCGGGGTGTAGACCCCATGTCACTCTTGTGCCCCGAGGGCATGTTCCAGGAGGGGTGGGGAATAGGGCTGGACCCTCAGGGTCCGAGTGTCTGACGCCAGGCGCCACCACCTGTGCCTGCGCCCCCCTCAGGGGCGGGGTAAGAAGCCAGTGATGTCAACCTAGGTCCCGTGGAGCCCTCAGCTGTGGCGAACCGCCCTGCCGCGTGACCGGCGCGCACCAATGGCCCAGCAGTCTCCAGGGCGACGTGGAGGGTCCATGCTCCGCCACCACTGCGCCCCCGCCCCTTGTCCACACTGCAGAGCGCTGGCCCACGTGCTGCGCAGAGAGAGGGACAGGGAAAGGAAGAGGGAGAGACAGCGGCCACTGTGCTTAGCCCTGCGCCCCTCCTTCTGGGACTTGTGTCAGAAAGGACCCCAACCCAGTTGAAGGTACCAGCCTCAGGGAGGGCGAGCTTGCCCCCTGGAGACCCCTCCGCCCTCCGCCTGCCCCAGCAGGGGTTGGGGTCAGTGTGGGAAGGAGGCTGTGACCCCTGCGGTCCTGCGAAGGGTGGGGTCGAGCCTGGGCTGCAGAGGTGCTGCCAGGGGAGGAGTGGCAGCTGGGGGTGGGAAGGGGGTTTCAGCATTAACTTCGTTCTCGCCCCGTTCGTTCGTTCGTATTCACAGGCAGTGGAGACCTGGGCTGTCTGCTGTCACCCTGGGAGTTGGCCCAGATTTCTGTGCATCACACACTGCACTGATCATTCCCCCCTAAATTAGATGCCGTAGAGATTGGGGCCATGCCGTTGACCCTGTTGCAGGATTGGTGTAGGGGGGAACATCTGAACACCCAGAGGTCCATGCTCATCCTGGGGATTCCTGAGGACTGTGATGAGGATGAGTTTGAGGAGACTCTTCAGGAGGCTCTTAGACACCTGGGCAGGTATAGTGTCATTGGTAGGATGTTTAGGAGGGAGGAGAATGCTCAAGCATTTCTCCTGGAGCTTGCCCAAGATATCGACTATGCTTTGATCCTCAGGGAAACACCAGGAAAGGGAAGGCCTTGGGAAGTGGTGGTAAAACCTAACTCAGATGGTGAATTTCTCAATAGACTGAACCACTTCTTAGAGGAGGAGGCGGACAGTGTCAGACATGTACAGAGTCCTTGGATCAGACATCAATTGACCCACTCCCAGAGTGGCCATATCACCTGATTTCTGGACTTGGGCCCAGACCCTGGGGGCAGTAGTGCAGCCTCTGCTAGAACAAATGTTCTACCAAGAACTAAGAGTGTTTTCTGGGAGCACTGTGCCATCCCAGGGGCGTTGGCCTTTGAAGCCTGGCTTGAGCACACCACTGAGGTGCTACAGATGTGGCAGGTACCTGAGGGGGAAAAGAGGCGGAGGTTGATGGAATGCTTGCCGGGGCCTGCTCTGCAGGTGGTCAGGGGGCTCCGTGCCCACAATGCTGCCATAACTGTGGAGGAGTGCCTGGCATCCCTGCAACAGGTGTTTGGACCTGTGGAGAGCCGTAAAATTGCCCATGTGAAGTTTTCTAAGGCCTACCAAGAGGCAGGGGAGAAACTCTCTCGTTTCGTGTTACAGTTGGAACGCCTGCTCCAAAGAGCTGTAGAAAAAATGCGGTATCACGAAGGAATGTGAATCAGACTCGCCGGGAACAAGTCTTAAGTGGTGCCAACCTTACTGACAAACTTCGAGACAGGTTTAAGCTGATGAAACAGTGAAGGAAACCTCCTGGTTTCTTGGCACTGGTGAAGCTGCTGCGTGCGGAGGAGGAATGAGAGGCTACGGTAGGTCTTGAGAGGGAGAGTCTGGATGGCTTTGAAGCAGGCATAAGGTCACCTGCCAGAGCCAGTGGTTTCCGAGCAGTGTCTTTTCCTGGCCCTGGCAACATTCTACAGGCCAGGCCTTCCCAAAGTTCCCGGCATAGGAGGGGCAGAGGCCAACACCGCAGGAGGTGTGTGCCAAGGGCTGACTCTCGAAGTTTAGGAAAATAGAAACACCACATATTCTGCTATAGTTGTGGAGAAAATGGCCACATCAGCGCACAATGTAGCAACCCTCCAAACCTTCTCTTGGTAAAGCAGATGAGACAGGCTGCAATAGAGTCCGGAAATGGTGACTGGACCTGGGGAAAGAGCCATCCCAAGCCCAAGGCTAAATAGGCTCAGGAGAACAGGGCAGCTCTTCTTGCTACAGGCTGAGGAGACGAAAGAGATATTGGAAGAAAGGGAAGGGGCATTCCACGCAAACAGCAGAGAACCTGAGTGGGGCAGAGGGGCAGGGCAATCAAGCACAGGCTAAGCCCCCTTATCCTCCACCAGCTGAAAGGGAGTCCACCCGCAAGGCCAAACTCGGCTCAGGGACAGCCAAACACGGGACCCTGAAGAAGTACTGGCGACACAACCTGGGAGCCACCACACCCGGCTGGGGTGCTCCAGCCACAAGCGGGGACCCCACCATGGCAGAGGCTAAAGGAGTTGCATCTGGGAACTCTGGCGTCAGCCCCGTTACCTGGGCTCCCCCAAACTCCCACCCTGTGGACTCCGAGCTAAGAATGCCGACCGGCCCACTGGCCCCATGGGGCCCGGAGGAGCCTTCCCCAGGGCCACCCCTGCCAGAAGCAGCCAGCACCAGTGAGGAAGAGCTGTGCAGCAGAGAGGCGGGGGCCCTCCGGAGGGGAGACCGCAGGGTCCAGCCCGTCCTCAGGATTATCTACACTGCTCTAGGGGAGCCCCAGGAAGGCAGCACCCTTGAGCCCCTGCGCAAGTGAGACCAGGAGAGCCCAGCGCCAGCCTGCAGGCAGTTCTCCCCCTGCAGCCTCTTTTTTCTTAAGAAAAACACATCTTGCATACCTTACATACTTAATTTAGTATAACTGTAAGGTTTTAAGTTACCAAAAGATCTTGAAACCTTTAGGGCTGACATACTACATACGAAATATAATTACTGTTGAAATAAAGTTTTGTCAGAATAAGTTCACCAAAAAAATATTACATACCGGTACCCTGGCTGAGTAGCTCAGTTGGTTAGAACATCTTCCCAGTATGCCATCCTCAGTCAGGGCATGTACAAGAATCAAACAGTGAATGCATAAATAAGTGGAACAACAAACCAATGTTTCTCTCTCTCTCAAATCAATAAATTTAAAAAGTTTCAAATATTACATATATGTATACATACACACACAAAACATACAAATAAAATAAATAAGTCCTGAGGATGTAACGTACAGCATGATGACTATAGTTAATACCGCGCTGCATAAAAGTTCTCATCACAAGAACAAAAATTGCAACTACGGATGGTGATTCATGTCAACTAGACTTATTGTGATCATTTGGCAATATATACAAATAAGAAATCACCATGCTGTACACCTGAAACTAATATGATGTTATATGTTTTCAGGGGTATTTCTTAACCTTCATCATTTTCCAGGATCACGGGGCCAGAACACCTCTTTCATGGCATCACCCTTAATAATACCTTATAATGACTGTAATACCAGGTGTTTGAGTGGTGGCTTTGCAGAGCCACAGTGACCCAGTGTTACGAGAATCCTCAGGTAAAATGTCCCACCTGGAGTCTTCGACTCTCTGACAGCATCAGGTAACCGACTTTTCTTGGTATGAGAAGTAGATTAATTTAACACACTCTTAATGGTGTATTCTTATTAAGTAAGTCCTATTAAGGTCTGTATTCCCCCTCTCAGACATAGCAAACATCTGCAGTTAATGGAGAATGAGGCGATGTCTGCAAATTTCTTTCTTTCTTTCTTTCTTTCTTTCTTTCTTTCTTTCTTTCTTTCTTTCTTTCTTTCTTTCTTTCTTTCTTTCATTTTTAGAGAGAGAAACATCGATGTGAGAGAGACACATCGAGTGGTTGCCACCCACACGACCCCAACCGGGCCAGGGACAAACTGCAACCAAGGTACGTGCCCGGGACTCTCTGGTCCGCGGGCGGATGCTCCAACTGCTGAGCCAAACCAGCCAGGGCTGCAAATATCTTGCTCAGTAACCTTTCATTTAAAATTTTGTTTGCTTTTGTACTTCTTAATCCCTTCACCTTTTCCACCCAACCCCACAAGCTCCCCTCCCATCTGGCAACCATCAGTTTGTTCTCTGTATTTGCGTCTGTTTTGTTCATTTATTTTGTTCTTTAGATTCCACAGATAAGTGAAATCATATGGCATTGTTTTTCTCTGGCCGACTTATTCACTTAGCAGTATACCCTCTAGGTACAAATTAATAGTTACAAAATAGTCATGGGGATGTAGTGTACAGCATAGGGAATATAGTCAATATTTTAATAACTATATGGTGCCATCTAGGCACTAGACTTATGGGAGGATCAGTTTGTAAATTATATAAAAGTCTAACCATTAAGCTGAACACCTAAAATTCATAAACTATTATCATATTGAATGTCAACTGTAATTGAAAAAATAAAAAATAAATAAAATTTTGTTTTAAATACTTTTATGTAAACATTATAGAAAAGTCCATTCTTCTGCATCCCCAATAAAGCAAAAGAAATCTATTCTGTCACCAAAGGCCCACAATTTCTGGTCCTGAAAAGTAAGTACAGGCTTCAGAGCCTTGGTACTCAAAGCCTAGTAAGGGACCTGCACTACTGGAGTCATCCAGCTTTCAAGAAACAGCAGATTCTTAGTCCTACCCCATCCTCCTCACTGGGACCTGCATTTTATCAAGATCTGTGAGAGATTTTTTTTTATCCTCACCCAGAGCAGTTTTCCATTTTTTGTTCAGGTAGAGTGGGAGGGAGAGAAAGAGAGAGAGAAGGAACATCGACGTGAAGGGACACATCGAGTGGCTGCCACCCGCACGACCAACCAGGGCCGGGGACAAACTGCCACCGAGGTACGTGCCTTAGCGGGAACCGAACCCGGGCCTCTCTGGACCGCAGGCCGACGCTCTAACCGCTGAGCCAAACCGGCCAAGATCTGTGAGAGATTCCTGCACACTTCCCGTTGTGCTACTTGTGCCCCACCCACACCATTTCTGAACCCCGAATTTGGGTCCTGCAGGCTTCAGGGCAAACATTGCAGTCTTCCCTCTGTGGAAGAAACCTCCTTCCAAAAGGGGCGGGAAGCAGTTTGGATACTAGGTGGGTAACACTCCTGAAGTCAAGAGAATAATGGGAGAATGGGGTCCTTCATAGTTTTCTGTCTCTTCGTGACCTCTAAAAATGTTCATGCCCTCGTAAAAGGCAGGAGCTCCCTAGAATACCGCCCAAGAAAAAATAAGCAGGGATCAGGACTTTCTTTAGAAAGCACCGTCTGGGGTTTCGCTTTTGCACCCAGCCCTGTGCCGACTGCTTGCAGCATTCAAACAGGGGCCGGTGCCAACTGCTGCACTGCAGCTCCCTGTCCAATGGGCTGGAGACAGCGCGACGGGAGCGGAAATGGCTCCTGGGCTCGCGTGCCACGTGGCGGGCCCGGTGGGCCGCTGGTAGCTAAGCGGAGGCTGGACATAGTCCCAGCTCTGCAGTACCCTGCCCCCAGCTTGATTTGAACACTCTGTAACCCCCGGCACCTCAGGGACAGGATCAGGGACTGAGGCAGGAGCCCCCCCTTCCAGGCGGGAGGTGGGGGCCAGGCTGCGAGGGCGCAGCCGCGAGTGCGCCGTGTGCACTCCATAACCTCTTCCCGCCATCAGCTCCCGGCCCAGTCTGCACCGCGGCAGGAGCGCCAGCAGACGCGTGGTGGCCGTGGTGCTGGGCGGCCGTGGTCTGCAGGGATCTCCAGCAGGTATGGAGTGGGGCCCTGGGCACACAGAGCAACCCAAACCGCAGCCCCTCCACCCTCACCCCACCTCGACCCTCGCCATCTTCCTTGGCATCCCAAAGGCCGCTTGCTAGAGGTGTCTCCCGACGTGGGATACCATGGGATCAGGCCTGGCACCCCACGGACCTCCCGGCCATTTCCAGGCACAGTGACAAGCCTGTGACCTGCAGAGGAACCTGTTTCACACCTGACCCTGCCCGGAGCCATGTAGTCTGCACATCCAGGACAAATGGCTCTGGGCCTTCTTCCCCCTGGAAGGAAAGTGGCTTTGGCCCTCCACCTGGCCCTGCCAACGTCCACTGACCAGAATGGGGGGCGTTTGAGGGAGAGAATGTGTAGTCTTAGGGTGGGAGTGGGGAGCTTAGGGGAATGGTAAGCTTGTGGGTAAGAGTTGGGCCTAGGTCTGGGCAGGGCCTGGGTCCCCGCGAGGCTTAGGTGGGGGAAGGGCTTGGGAGGGTTGGAATATGAGTGGCAGGGGTAGCACTTGGGTGGGGGCAGGGATTGTGTGGAGTTCCCTGTTAGGGATTGCGCATAGCGCGTAGGGTGGGACTTAGTGGGGCTGGCTTGGGAAGGGGTGGGACTTGGTGTGGGCCGGGCTTGGGAAGGGGTTGGGACTTGGCGTGGGCCGGGCTTGGGAAGGGGTGGGACTTGCTGTGGGCAGGGTTTGGGAAGGGGTGGGGCTTGGTGTGGGCCGGGCTTGGGAAGGGGTGGGACTTGGTGTGGGCAGGGTTTGGGAGGGTGTGGGAACTTGGTGTGGGCCAGGGTTTGGCAGGGGTGGGACTTGGTGTGGGCAGGGTTGGGAGGGGTGGGACTTGGTGTGGGCAGGTTGGCAGGGTGGGACTTGGTGTGGGCAGGGTTGGGAGGGTGAAACATGAGTGACAGGAGTAGGACTTGAGGTGGAGCTTGGCATCAGGGCTTGTGCTTCCTTGGGGTAGCTTTTGGTGGTGGTGCCTTAGGGAAGGATGGAACGTGAATGGCATGGTTAGGAGTTGTGTGGGGTCAGGGACTGAGCTTCTGTGGGGCTGGAGCTGGGTATCAGGGGTGGGGCTTTGGGTGGGCGTGGGACTTGGTGGGGGCAAGGTGTGGGAGGAGTGGAAAGTAAGTTGCCGGGGTAGGATTGGATGGGGGCAGGGCTTGAGCTTCCGTAGGGATGGATCTTGGCTTCAGAGCTTGGGCTTGGTGGGTGGGCCTTGGGTTAGACACTGAGTGTAGTGGGGGCGGGACATGACAGTGGGTGGATGTGAGGGCGGGGCCGGGGGGAATTGAGGGTGGGGCAGTAATCTTAAAGTAGGATTCCTTCTGCTCTAGCAGTTGACCAGAGGGAGCAGTTTCTTGTGTCTCTGCACCAGGGTACTTACGGACAGCTCTGCAGACTCAGAATTGGTACAGCCTGAGCAGCCGCAGGTGGGTCACAACCCTAGCAAAATACCTCTGCCTTCCCTTGGGACAGATCCAGTGGAGCAGTACCCCCCACCCTGGGGCCAGGGATTGTCTGACTGTGGACAGTACTAGAGAGCTGAACGTTGAGTATCGGTGGAATCTCCACATCCGCAAGGCCAGAGGGCCCTACTCAGACAGACTGGTGAGCCGCTGTGAGGTGGGCCTCTATCGGGAGAGGCATCTAATCCTGGCAAAGAGCAAGAGGGGAAGGGGCTGCCTGTCAACGTGTGCAGACTGCAGTGTAGGGTCACAACTAGAGGGAGGGAGAGTTGTCCCTCTCCTGCAGTGTGGCACTAATGACCTTTTTTGGTCCCTGATTTCAGGGACGCATTTTAAAGTCACAAGGTCTTGATTTTGAGGATTCAATCCTTGCTGCCCACCCCCCCCGCCCATCTCACTTCTCCAAACCCCTTTGTTGCTAGCATACTTCATTGGTTGGAGGCCAGGGACATCATTCCTGGAGGGCCTTAATCTTAGCGCATGCCACCCAGTCTGCGATAGAAACCCTTGGCCCCTGCTGTTCATGGTATCCATGACGACACTTCAGCTCTCCAGGGCTCTCCACACCCACCAGTTTCATTGCATTGCACAGAACTCCTGCCCTCTTTTTCATCTGTTGGGCATTTTCTGGGAAAGAGGGAAGCTCTGCATCTCCCTCCTCCACCTTTGCCCTGGCAAAGAGGGTGCCCTGGGCCTGCACAGCCTTGTGCCGGGGAGTGGGATATTCTGGTTTCTCCTGCTTGGAGGGTTTTGTCAGGGTCCCCAGTGTCAGACCCTGCCTCCTGATGCTGGCCTTTTCACCACAGGTGTCTGCAGCACGTGCAGCAGAGTCCTCAGACTTTGAGGAAGAACCCACGGCAGGAGGAGGTCAGCAGGGAGGGGATGAGGTGGGGGGAGCTGGGGAGTGGGGAGACCCCCCTACACTGTACACTCCACCAAATGATGACGGGGAGCCCTGGGAAGCAGGGACTGGAATCTCTGAGTGGAGGTGGGGGGCAGAGGAGAGGCTCTTGGTGAGGGTGGGAAATGGGCAATAATGATGCTTTCACCCCATTTGCATTACAGGTTGTGGAAACCTGGGACTCTCTGCCGTTGTACTTGGCATTGGCTGAGAATTGACTGAGTCTTGGTCAAAACTCTGTGGAGCAGATTACTACCCCTACTATTAGATCAGTCCATAGAAAGTAGGAGCAATGGCCGTGACCCTGTTAGAGGATTGGTGCAAGGGGATGGACCTGGACCCCAGGAAGGCCCTGCTGATTGTGGGGATCCCCATGGAGTGTACCGAGGATGAAATTCAAGAGACTGTTAGGGCAGGCTTACAGCCCGTGTGCCCATACAGAGTGCTGGGCAGAATGTTCAGAAGAGAAGACAATGCTAAGGCAGTCTTCATCGAATTGGGTGACACTGTCAATTATGCCGAGATGCCCAATCAGATACCAGGAAAAGGAGGTGCCTGGGAAGTGGTGGTAAAACCTCGTAATCCAGATGAGGAATTTGTCAGTAAACTGAGCTACTTCCTGAAGGAAGAGGGCCGGAGAATGGTAGATGTGGCCAGAGCCCTGGGGTGTGGCCCTGCCACTGAGGGCGGGGAGCCAGACGATGTTTCCCAGGCGAAACCCATAGTTGTGCAGCCTCTGAAGGAATGCATGTGGTACCGAAAACTCAAAATGTTTTCAGGAAACGTCTTTCCAGGCCCAGGCGAAGAGAACTTTGAAGCCTGGCTGGAGCAGGTCACTGAGATGATGCAGATGTGGCAAGTGTCTGAGGTGGAGAAGAGGCGCCGTTTGCTGGAGAGCCTGCGCGGCCCTGCCCTGTCCATCATGCGGGTGCTCCGGGCCAGCAATGACTCCATGACTGTGGAGCAGTGCCTGGACGCCCTGAAGCAGATCTTTGGGAATATGGAAGACTATAGAACCTCACAGTTTAAGTTCCTCCAGTCGTTTCAGAAGATTGGAGAGAAAATGTCTGTGTTTTTGGTGCGGTTAGAGCCCCTGCTGCAGAAAGCCGTGCAGCACAGCCCGTTGTCAGTGCGAAGCGCAGACATGATTCGCCTGAAACACATCCTTACTCGGGCCAACATGACCAACACCCTCCGGGGCAAGCTCGAGCTCCTGGATCAGCGAGGGTGTCCTCCCACTTTCCTGGAGTTAATGAAGCTCATTCGAGATGATGAGGAGTGCGAGGCCACCATGGTAGTGATGAAGCAGAAGCAAAGGCCTGGAGGAAGGGGCCGTAAAGTGTCCAGCAGACAGATATTAGAAGAAACCAGTGTTCCCATACCTCCGGTCCTAGGGCAGGCAGGGCAGTTTTGTGAGAGCAGCACTCAGACCATCCAGGAAGGGGCTGCCTCGTCACTGAAGCGCAAGCCGCTGTCCTGCTATTGTAGTGGAGACGAAGGCCACAGCCAGATCCCATGCTTTAAGATTAAAGACGAACCACCAGCAAAACAGAAGCCTCAGCTTTCAGCAACAGAGTCGGGAAACGAGGTGGGGGCTGGGGCCATGAGCCACCCCGAGCCCTAGAAAGCATAGGCTCAAAAAATCCAGGCACCCTTTCCCCTAGCGGGCAGCAGAAAGATTTTAAAAATGGAAGGGGCATTCAAAACAAATAGCAGAGGGGCAGGGCAGTCAGAACCAGGCCAAGCCCCCTGATCCTCCACCAGCTGAAAGGGAGTCCACCCGCAAGGCCAAACTCGGCTCAGGGACAGCCAAACACGGGACCCTGAAGAAGTACTGGCGACACAACCTGGGAGCCACCACACCCGGCTGGGGTGCTCCAGCCACAAGCGGGGACCCCACCATGGCAGAGGCTAAAGGAGTTGCATCTGGGATCTCTGGCGTCAGCCCCGTTACCTGGGCTCCCCCAAACTCCCACCCTGTGGACTCCGAGCTAAGAATGCCGACCGGCCCACTGGCCCCATGGGGCCCGGAGGAGCCTTCCCCAGGGCCACCCCTGCCAGAAGCAGCCAGCACCAGTGAGGAAGAGCTGTGCAGCAGAGAGGCGGGGGCCCTCCGGAGGGGAGACCGCAGGGTCCAGCCCGTCCTCAGGATTATCTACACTGCTCTAGGGGAGCCCCAGGAAGGCAGCACCCTTGAGCCCCTGCGCAAGTGAGACCAGGAGAGCCCAGCGCCAGCCTGCAGGCAGTTCTCCCCCTGCAGCCTGGAAAGGCTATGGGCACAGAGCCCCAGGGAGAGCCTAGGCTCAGCCTGGCAGGGGTTGGGGACTTGGGCTAGTACCCACAGCTGGTTTGGGTGGGAATGGGTGTGCAGGGAAACGTGTTCTAGGGCAAGAGGAGAGGAGAAGGAAGTGGAGGAGGAAAACTAGGAGTGGGGGGAGGAAAAGGTGAGCAGGAGAGGAGGAGGAGGTCAGGAGGAGGGAGAAGTCATTGGGGGGCAGTGTTTTGGTTTTTTTTGTTTGTGCAGCGTCACGAGATGCGGAGAGGGCAGGAAGGAGAACAGGGACTGGCCCGGCGAACCACCACTCAGCAGCTGCCAATGCCAAGTCCAGACCCAGCTCCAAACTGCCAACTCTGGCAGCCAGACTGGGAGCACCCCTGAGCAGCCAACCCCAGCCTAGGAGAGGGGCACCTGAAGACGTCTGCCTCCCACACAGAGACCTTAGGGGCCCTCTCAACGGTGCTGGTCATGAGGACTTCCATTGTCCATCCCCTGGGACAGGCTGCTCCCTTTACTGGGAAGCCCCCACCCTGTTTCTCTATAGTTCCCGTAGTGACCCACATGTCAAGTAATCACCCCCCCCACACACACACACACATTAGCCATTGTTCTTGTGCAGAACGGCCAGGTGTGTGTGAACCCGGTGAGTGTCCTGGCCTACCTACCGGGCAGCCGCCTCTCAGCCCCGGCAGGTGCTGTGAGCTGCACAGACAGCCAAGGCTCTGCCAGCTCTCGTCCAGAGCCGTGAGCTCAACCTCTGCTTTCTCGGTGTAGATTTAGGCCAACTGCTGCTTGTTCTTGTGGAGATGTGTGTGTTCTTCTCAGCAGTTCTCCACCACGGATACCCTGAGCCCAGCCCCAAGAAACTCCAGGAAAGATGTTCGAAGGCACCACTGGTGCTCACCCGTGACCTCCGGAAGGAAGAACTAGATCAGCGTTGGAGGGGGGCTGCTGGAGGCGCCACAGAGACTGTGCTCTGATGTGTCATCTTGTTTTTCCTTGTGACTCAGTTTCCTTGGCTTGATGGAATGCCCCTTGTTGTGTTTTCCAGTGCCCTGTGTCTGTCCTATGCAGGCCATAGGTCAGGGCCAGGCCCCAGCATGTCATCCAGGGGAGAAGGGGAGCCCAGCAGTGAGTGGACATTGCCAGTGTCCATAGTCCTGCAAAGGCCAGTTATGGGGCTCTCAGGAAGGGGGACTATGGTGGGAGGGCCATAGTAGGGGGTGACAGATTAGGTACCTCGTCAGGGACCCTAGTAGGGGGGCGAGACTTGTTAGCTCTAGTGGCCATTAGAAGCTCCTCTCTGTGTTGGCATTCCCTTTGTTCAATGGATTCAGTAAATGTTTCTCTTCAATAAATGTAATTGAATGTTTCAGCTCAGTCTCACCTCTGCTTTGGGCAATTGAAGGTAGGGTCTGCTGTGTGTAGGGGGATGTGCATCAGTGGCCTAGTCAGCACTGGTGTATGTTCTGGGCAAGGTCCATGAGCGCTGTTAAATGTCCTAATTGCAAAAGGCGGTGGCCAACATCCAGGGAACAGTGGCTTATCGATCAGGGCAAAGGGCAAAGGACCATAGCTAGGCAGGCTTGATGGTACCCATCAATAGGATGCTGATGGGAGTGGACGGTGGCTGCTTGGATTCCCAGTGCACTCAGGGAACTCCTCAGGAATAATGTAGGGCAAGGAAAGGCAGGCAGGAGCCAGCAGTCCCAGGATTCCTCACTGTCTTGTTGGGGCTCAAGGTATTTAGACCTGGAGTCATGCACATACTACCTTGCACACACAAAACCAGGCCATCCTGTGTCAGTGTTTGTGTAAAAGTGTGTAAATGTAAGCATGTAAAAGTATGTATGAATGAGTTTGTGAATGTGTGTCAGTGAATATGTGTGAATATGTGACTATGTAAGGCTGTGTGAATGTGTTAGTGAATGAGTGTAAATGTGTATTTCTGTATGTTAAATATGAGCATTTGTATAAGTTTGTGTGTTCATAAGTGTGTGTGTGAATGTATGTTTATATGTGTTAGAGTGTATCAGTGGATATGTGTCAATGAATGCATGTGAGTGTGTGAATGTATACATGGATGAATATGTATAGTGTATGAATATGTATGAGTTTGTGTGTGCAAGGTAGTATGTGCATGACTGTGAGGAATTGTGTGCATGTGTGTTAGTATGTATAAGTACATATTTGTGTCAATGAGTGTGAATATGTGTGTGTGTCAGTGAATATGCATGTGGGAATGTGTCTAGTGTGTGAGTGTGTATGTATGAGTTTGTGAGAGTGTGTGTTAGTGTGTGTATGAGTATGAGTGAATGTGTGCTAATAGGAGAGGGTATATGTGTTAACGTTGAATGAATGTATGAGAAGATGTGTGTTTCTGTGTGAGTGCATATGTTAGATGGTTGGTGGTTCTTTATTTCTTTGAGGAGTCAAACTAGAGAGTTGGAAAGAAGGCAGTGTGAGGCACATATTGCTTCTTTACAAAACAGGAGCAAGAGCTCTTTTGGTGCCTGACTGATGAGCCCTACATCTGGTTCTACTATGCAATCAATCATTCTTTTATGGCCCCTGGAACTTTCCTGTTTTCAAGGTTTCTACGATTATGTGTGTTACTACTATTGTGTGATCAAAGCCTATGTGAACATCTATGTGTGAGTCTTTTTGTGGACATTTGTTTTCCTTTCTCCTGAATAAATACCTAGGCATGGAATGGCTAGGACAGGGTAGGACTGTTACACTTTATGAAAATAAAGTTCACACAGATTTCCAAAGTTGTTATGGCAATTTATATGCCCATCAACAGTGCCCATCTCTTGGGGTTTTCAAAAAATTTTGTGTTGTCAACTTTGAACTTTTAGCCATTCTGGTTGGTGAGTCTTTGTGATATCTCACTGTGATATTCATTTTTATTTTTCTGATGACTAATGATATGGAACATGGCTATTTAAATCTCTTTCCCGGTTTTCAACTGAGGTCCTTGCCTTTTTTATTATTCAATTGCACAAGTTATCAAAATACTCTGGATACAAGTATATGTATATGTGTTGGGAATATTTTCTCACAGTTGTGTCTTGCCTATGCACATTCTTAGTAATATCTGTTCACAAGCAGATAGATTTAACTCTAATGAGGTCCATTGCATCATTTGTTCTCTTTTATAGTGACCACTTTCTGGGCCCTGCCTAAGAGATATTTGCTTGTCATACATTACAAAGGTATTGTCATGTTGTCCTATGTTTTCTTCTAGAAACTCTGCAATTTTAGCTCTTTCATATAGATCTTACAATGTACCTAAATTAATTTTTTATTATGGAGAGGTGTGGAATCAAGATGTTTTTGAAAATATTTTCATTTGACACTGGTTTTATTGGAGTGTTGGTCAAAAATCAATCGATTATGTACCTGTGAATCAATTACAGTGTTTATATTCTCTCTCCCATATTTTTCAGTTCTAGGATTTCTATTTGGTTCTTCATTATAATTGTCATTTTTATATTGAGATTCTTTCTCATTAGTTCCTTCATTGTATTCATTTTTCCCTTTTAATTCTGGAACACATTTATGTGCAATTGCTGCCCTCATGTGCTAATCCCATCATCCTAATCATTTCTGGGTATTGGCACATTTTCCCCCTGGTGATGGCTCATATTTTCTTTGCATAGAAGCTGGACATTTTGACTGTTATGTAGTTAAATGTCTTGGTTTTGTTGTTTCCTTTATTTCTGTGTTGAGTTTTGTTCCAGCAGCCAATTAGTTCACTTATAGACCAGCATGAGCCTTTCAACATTTGTTTTTAAGCATTGTTAATGTAGATCTTATAGAGTTATCTGAGCCTTCCTCCTAATGTATGTCCTTTCTGGATTCTGGATGAATATGTGAGGACTTCAATATGGTCTCTCCACTCTGGCTGGTAAGAATGATATATAAGCTCTGGTAGTTCTCCAGCTCACAGTTTCTGGAAGGTGTACTGTGCCTAACCTTGTGGTGTCTCAATCTGAGCCTGCAGAGTTAGTATAGACTTAGCAAGAACTGTGTCTAGTACTCTGGAGATCTTTCTATGCCCATTTACCTTCTATCCAGTATACTACTTGCAAAACAGAGTAGCACCCAACTCCATAACTCAGCAAGACTATCACAAGTTTGAATTCTCCTTCCCTTTTCCATAGACTGAAAAGTACCTCTATACCAATTGCTGGGCTGATCTTTGGCCTCACTTTGTTTGTTTGATTTCTGTCAGACCTCACAGGCCTGGCAAACTCTGTATAGTCAAGGCACTCACAGTGCAGTGGATGGGGTCAAATTGTCAGAAGATATTTGGAGAGAAGGTTCATGTGGATGGGGCC